AAGATGTCACATTTTCTACACTATCTCCTGATAAAATCCCAGATCCCAAAAAGTTTAATGCTAAAAGAAGTACATTAACGATATTCGAAGATCTTTACTCTGACCCTCCAGATATACAGAAAAAAATTATTCCATTTTTCACCCGAGGTCGTCATGAGAATATCTCTTCAATTTATGTTGCTCAAAAATTTCACAAAATTCCAATAGATATTCGTGAAAATGCTACCCACATTGTTCTCTTTAATGGCAGGGGCTCTATTTGAAAACTTGCGGATATTATAAGTCCTTATACTGATGCGGATCCACATAAATCTGCAAAAATTATTGATGGGTATTTGAGACAAAAAGAGTTCATAGTTATAAATCTGAATAAACCGAGATCTGAATCTTTTTCACTTCGATGGGACACCCCCTTGATCTAGAAAAAGAAATCGAAGTGTTAAAAAATAATAAATATTCTATCTAATCAGAGTGTGATTTCAGTCAAAGGTTGGCTGGGTATACATATATTAAATGATAATTTGACCTGGACTTTCGAATCCTTTATTTTCAGCTATATCGAGTAAATCCATTACTTTCTGCAAAGTTATTACTTGACGCAATGTCCCAACCGCTTCACGAGTTAACCATTCCTTTTTATTTTCTCTGAATTGGGAGAGGAACTCAAATACATAATCTTCTATTTTATTTTTATAATAATTAGCCTGGAATATAAGTCTATCTTGTTTGTACGATTCATAAAACATTTTTGTATTAAAGACTTCTCTTATTAATTTGTGATATGCTTTTTCTCTCAGATCTTTACTTCACTTTTCAAGTTCCATTGAGGTATTAATAAAATCATCGATCCATGGATTACTTTCTCGATCATATGACATAACCTCATGAATTTTATCTATTATACCTCCTTGGCGTATAAGTTCTTGAAGTTCTGTAACATTTACTATACCTGTAGTAATTGTAGATTCATTTGGTTCAGATAATGGATTAGTAGCAGATGGAATAGATTTTTTATGTGCATTGGCACTAGTTCCGCTATTCTTTTTACGAGGCATGTTGATTGAATATATATACAACTAATTCAAATTGGCGTAATGCCGTTGATATACTTGATAAAAATCTGCAAGGTTGAGAATTTATTGTTATTGATTTAACTAGAGCGAAAGAGGATCTTTTTTATATGCGCAAAGGTTGGGATCAACCACTTAATCTTTCTAATGAGCAGAATGGGATTTCAAAAAAATAGCTATTAATCATCATGAAATAACAGTGAATAAGTTATATAATAAATAGATATATTAATCAGATAATAGATATGTATATATTTAGATTTCTAATTGTTGAAGACGCTTTTGAAATCTATCCCGTAATTGGTTTTTCTTTCTACCTACCCAATCATATGGAATATAATATTCCCGATACCAACTAATTTCAAATTCAGCATTATAAGGATACCTATTATATTTTTTTATATTCCTTATTGAAACGCATTTTAATTCGATCTAAGGATACAGGATTTTTTATTTTATGTGGAATTAATGTTAGAAATTTCTCATCATTTGGAGTACCATCATTTGCTAAGCTGTTCCAAGCAAGTCGTGCATTTGATGGCTCTTTTTCTTGGAATCGTCTCCAAGCACTTTGTATAATCCTTGCTAAACCATCTTTAGTTTTTGCTTTGCTACACTCATTATCCCAGTTATATTGCATCAAATCTACTGGTTCAACTTTTTCAATGTATCTATAGATAGCATATACTTTCTTCAGTTTCACATCATTGACTTGAATCAATTGCCAGCAATCGAAACATATAGCCATATGACTTTTATGAATCCTTGGTCTGTAATAATCGAAATTAACAAATTTACCTTTATCAAATGATGCAAATAAACATAGCCAGCGATAGAAACTAAATTTTCCAGAATTTAATAAATCTTGTAATGGTATTCTTACCCGTAAGCTCTATTGAAAGGGTGTTTCATTTTGTTTTATGATAGATAAAGTATCAAACGATCTCTCATTATCGAAGAGTTCGTCGTATCGTTTTCCATCAAAAGCAAAATAATTTCCAATATATGACACGACATATTTCATATCATATCCAGGACGAA